GCTGGAAATTGTTGTTCAGGAATTGAAATGAGAGTTAGATGTGAAATAATTTCAATACTGGAATTTTTGGTATTAAGAATTTAAGTGGTAAAATGGTGAAGACCATTTTGAGTAAATGGGAAAAGTTGATTCCAATGTTATAAGGAATTATTAAGAGTAAATATTTTGATAGATGATGAATTTCAAATATAGTATGAAGATATGGTGGAATGTATTTATGTTAGTAAAATACTAACATATGGATTATTATGAATTGATGATTTATACAGATTGTGATTGATTTGTAATCGAAGCAAATCAAATATAAAAGGGCTTATGGTGGACAATAGTGAGGCTTATATATTTTGAAAGATATAAAGTGTCAAGGTGAGTGCAATGCATGCATGAAATTATACATGGATGTTTTATACATCATAAGGAAGACTTGCGATAAGTTGACATTGTTTATATCGGCATGATTTTATATCATTTTTTATAAATTGACATTGAGATGTCAGAGTATGAAATTAAAATGCATTGATCATGAAAAAAAATGTGATATTTTACCATGAATGTTTTCGGGTATGAACTGCCCAATGTTAAATTTGATAATATACTTTGACATGGATGGATCGAATAAAATAGACTATATGCCCAAGTAAGTCATTGAGGGACAGGGTATAGTTGGCATGCCTTAGAGTATAGCAGCTGCAGGTTTATATTAGCACTATAGTGTGTAAGGACACTAAGTGCAGGTTTATATCCGGATTAGCACTATATCGTAAGCTTAGTGTAGGTGGTGGGCACGACCTTATGTGTATTGTCTGGATTAGCACTATGGCGTAAGCTTAGTGCATGTTTAGCACTACGGTGCAGGTATTTTACTCGTATACCCAGGGTCCTCAGGGTGTTATATTGGGCTATTGTCTACGGTTTATTGGCTATGGATTATGTTTTATTGGTTAATAAATGGTAACCATGCAAATAAGCTTATGAGCTTATGGAATAATGGCAAGTATATAGGAAAAATAAGCTTACGAGCTTATGGAATAAATGGTAAGTATTTTGGTAAAATAAGCTTACGAGCTTATGGGATAAATGGTAAGAGATTTTATATTATTTTGATCATGGTAAAATATTGGATATGTTAGTAAAATGATTTTATGGAAATTTGATTTTTGATATTGAAAATCATGCATGAATTGTATTGCACTGTTAAATGTTTTAATTGCCTCACTAAGTTTATACTTAGCGTGTGATGATTTTCACTCGTAGGTAAAAAGCAAAGAATAAGAATAAAGAGTTCAGAACGACATCAAGTATCGAGAGGTATATTTCAATATCAGTAAGACATCCTATTGTGAAATTTTATTTTAGATAGTGGCATGTAATGTGAAAATGTTCAATTTATTTGTTTAATTAATTTTGGAAATTTTTATAGTGATGAAAGGTGAATTTTTATGAAATTATATGTAAATTTTCGGAAGTTACTATAGCATGAACAGTAACCTCGTTTTAAACCAAATTTTCCAGATTATAAAAGGGGTACCGATTCCCCTGCTACAGGGAATCGATTCCCCCACTGTTCACTGTTCACTATTCGAGTACTATTCACTATTCATAAATAAAAATATTTTGAATTAAATTGGTTACAACGAAACGTAATTTGTATGATATGATAATTTTATAATATCATTTACTATTTAAAATAAATAAATTTTAAATCGCTCTCAAATTATGGAATGGTTTTAGAAAATACGGGTGACATCTATAATCTGTATAGGTATAATTATACGGGTTATGGGTGTTACAATATCTTAGTCTATGTGGGACGTAAATGGCCGAAAGGGCCTAGAAACACTCGTAGAAGTGTGTGACATCCAGAGTAACAATAGCATGCGTAATGCGGCCAAGTATCTTCAGTTTAATACGTAGCGAATATCCAAGAATGAAGGACCATTACAGAAGAGGTACCATCAAGTGGTACGATGAAATAATAAGATTACAAAATAGTGGAGTTGCGTACTACAAGGATGTTAGCGAATGGTGAACGTACAATTGTCCCTCTAATTTGATGGTGAATTGAGGTAAAACATAGTAAGAGCAATTAGAGTGTTGCTACCCAATAATAAAATTGAGTCATATATCAAGCTAGCTAACGTTACAACAATGAACAACAAGCACAATAATCATCGTAAAATCATGAAACACGCAGAGACTTCTTTAGAGATAGAAATGAATAAAATGCCCTAAGTAATGAATGACCAGAATAGAGCAACTTGATAAAGTAATAGAAGGAACAGACTAATAAACCTTCGTATAACATTCTAGATAAGAGAACGGGTGAGATGACAACTAGTGATAGGTTGACCTTACTTTAGTGTGTTGAACTACACTAGTGTGTAGTAAGGTTACCTTAATTACCCTAGTGGGGAATTATCAGTGCACAAAGCACTTCAGAAGCTAACTATGGCATGATGTTCGAACAATCACGAGGAGTGAGTTAGCAATGTTAGTGTTGTGGAGACTCATGATATGACTGAATCTGGCTTGGAGAAGCTGGAACCCATGAAAGAAGGACTTGGCCAAGAAACTCAATCACTCCTCGATGATATGAAGGGTCACAAGAAGAAGGGACTGATGTATTTAGACATCATTGTGGCAGGCCAGAAAATGAGTGCACTAGTGGACACATGTGCCTCAGAGTTGTTCTTGTCCGAGCAATCTGCCAGGAAACTTGATAACCTTTGGGCCCTTAGATATGCATGATAGTTAAATTATTCTAGTACAATAGATATCCTTAAAGCTTGGCTTTACGACTATGTGAGACTAAGCCAATGCTTCATTTGAGCGAAAATTGTATCGATGTTATGTGACACCAGGTTCCCCTTTCATGATATACCTTATGGCTATGTGAGAACTAGGAGATCATTCATCAACTTAGTAGGAATTTCATTGTTGCTATGTGATTTCGGGTTCCCTTAGTTAACTAGTGTTTGATGGCTATGTGAGACCAAATATTAGTCAGTGTTACATTTAGATAATGCACAACAGAGTCAGTGTCGTATTTAGATAATTTGTAGTAGTTACAATCATTATGGTTAGAGACTCTTTAGATGTGTACTTGATAAATCTCCAAAAGAGTTATCTTTTAGGATCTTTTCACCTAGGTTAAGCTTTAACTTAAGCATTATTAGGAACATATTAGGATCATTTGTACATGTTTTTGCATTATTTGCATCATGGGAGTTAATTAAGAAACTTAGGGCTTATTTTGCTTTTATTGTTGAAAATTGGTAAACTAATGTTGTGGCATTACTTGAAGCTCCAGATAATGTTGTGATAAAGATGCATCAACTGATGAGTCACTAAGTAGTTATGAGAATCTTTTGGAATGGATAGTTGGCGAGACAGTTGTCTAATGGCTGGAAATCACTTGAAACGTGAAGGAATATTATTGGTTAAGGGCAATTTCTCCTAGCCTATAAATAGAAAGGGTGTCATCACTATTTGATTATCAACTTTTCTCTCAAAATATTTTCCTCCATGTATTTTACCTTCTATCAACCATGGTTGCTTAGACCCATCGCTAGGGAGTGTTGCAACAGCTTGGGGAGCTTTGTCGTGTAACAAAGACAGTCAAGAATATCTTATCCTATTTATACTCTTGTTCTTCGTTGAGATAGGGAAGTAACAAAGTACATTTGGGATGTGTTGTTTAATTTTTGGGATGTTAATTTGATACTAAACTTTAATGAGTGTTTAAATGTTTTTGTTATGATTTTTGTTTAAACTCTATGTTTATGTGTTGTCGCACCTTTCAGATAATTTTATAAATGAATATATCTTCATGTATGTCTTATTGATGATGTTTGGAAATGAATATTATTAATATTTCATGCTACTTATGTTCAACATTGATTTTGATGAGAATTAATTTTGCATATTGAGATATATATTACCAATAAACTAGTATTGTTAATTGTTTAATCACTTGAATGACCGAAGGTTGATTCTTGTTATTTAAATATTATAAATCTTTGTTAGATGCATGAATTTAGGGGTGCATGCATAGTTATAGTAAAAACGACCAAATATCTTCCTAACTCATTCTTTAATTAATGTTGTAGCGCTGCCTGATAATATTTCCCTTATTTCTTTAATTAATGTTAATTGTATGTCACCATTGCAACCATATATCTTGTAGACACTTTTCATTCAACTCTATTGTAACTTTTTATAATCTTTATGGGTTCGATATCCGAAGCTTTATAGCTTCCACTTTATTATTTGACATGATATGTATATTTCCTTTAATGCTATAACATATTACGTTGTATCAAGTTTTTGACACTGTTGCTGGAGAGCAATGACTTTGCATTAGAGTTGTCTTTTTAGTTATTTACTTGTTTATTTTCTTTTATAGGTACCTATTGTGTATGTCCCATAGCAAAAATGACGAACTATAGCCTTTTGATCCGAAAATAGAACGAACATTTCACCGTCGATAAAGAGAAGCTAATAAAAATTGAGCAAACAAGAATGTTTAAAATGGTAACAATGTTTTACCACCATTATAGCATGAAGATGACGATGAAATGTTGGATTGAGCTAGAATCAACTTGTCACAATATTACAATAACGATGACCGTAATCGACCTATTAGGGAGCATGTTATCCCAACAATAAATAATTTACATCATGATATCGTGAGGCCAACCATTCATGCTGCCAATTTTGATATGAAACCAGTGATGTTCCAAATGTTGCAATACATGGGGCAATATATCGATTCATTCACTAAAGATCCTCGAGCACATCTTCGAGCATTTAAGGAGGTGTGTAACTTGTTTGTTCAACAAAGAGTACCTGAGAAAGCACTGAAGCTGAACTTGTTTCCCTATTCGTTGTGAGATAAAGCTAGAGTATGGTTGAACTCGCTGCCACTTGGTGTTATAGCATCTTGGAACGAGTTAGCTCAAAAGTTTTTGATGCAATTCAACCCGCCTAATATGAAGGCCAACCTGAGAAATGGCTTGACAACTTTCAAGAAATTAGAATATGAGAATTTATATGAGGCATGTGAACGTTTCAAGGACTTACTGCGTAAATGTCCGATGCATGGTTTTCCACACTAGACACAAATAGAAATATTTTTAACGGCTTAAATATGCAAACTCATATGGTAGTTGATGCTTCTACAAATAGGGCATTGTTAGATAAGACATACGATGGGGCTTATAATATTTTAGAAAGAATATCAAACAATAATTATTGATACCCCAACATGAGGAACGTGTTCGGCATACACAATGTTGCAGTAATGGATTATGATGCTTTCAATTCCATGACTTCCCAAATCACAACATTAACAGATATGGTTAAAAAGTTACATAAGCCATAGGTATGTACGAGTAAAGAATGCATTTATACTTTCATGTGTGTATTGTGATGATTATCAGAACTATGAGGAATGCCCATAAAACCCCGAATTCTTTTACTGTGTGAGGAACTACAATTGGAATGACAATTCCTATGGAAACACTTATAATATCAACTACCGCAACCATCCCAATTTATCTTGGAGAAGTCAAAATGTTGTTAATCCTTAGTAGCAGCATTACAATCTGCAGCAATTGATGCCCCAACCTCAGTTACATCAACAAGCCTCACAACCATAAAAATGCCAGAATTACCAAGGATATCATTCTACTCAAGCTACCAATCTTACTTCTCTTAAAGCCTTAATAAAGGAATATATGGCAAGTCAATCAGCATGATTAAGAGCTTTAAAAATCAGGTTGGACAACTGGTGAATGCTATGAGTAGTAGGCAACAAGGAACACTACCTAACGACATAGAGAATCCAAAGCAACAAGGGAAAACCCAATGTAACGAGCATAGAAAAACTATCACAACTATAAGTTTTCTCCACATTGGAAATCCTACTGACGAGCCTAAGAAAAAAGATGAAGAGAGGATTTGTAACACCCTAATCCAATCTGACCCAAAGATCACTGGATCACGATGTCACACGAGACCACCTAAGTGGCTAGCCCAAAAATTTTCTTTTAAAATAACTAAATGTCAAATATCTGATAAAATCACCCATGATAATAATAATGAAAATAAAAAAACAACTTAGTTTACAAGTACAGGGGGAAACTCCCAAAGTATACAAAATAATACAATACTAAGTTAAATCAAGAGTTATGATTGAATATACAAGGGTCCATAATAGTACATGCCCTTTAAAAGTGACTCAATACATACTATGAAATACTCGGTTGCTCTGGTCTGCTGCACTAGAATGTTTGATGACGATAACTCCCTACGAACGGTCTCCTAACCTGCGCACGGAAACACATTCCGAAAGCTGAGCTTGCGAGCTTAGTGCCTCACTAAAAACTGTATTATACTACATGCATTCACTAAAATATTCTAGTTGATGGAACATGCGCAAGGGCATAAAAGATACTGGTCTACTATACTGTGTCATACATCATGGTGCAGCAGAGGGATTTTGTATCTCGGAGCTCATGCACCCCTCTAGTTTTCCTGAATACTCGAAGGTACTCTGGGTGATTTGAAATCCGCATCAGAAATATACATTCGGCCAACTCACTCCGTTGAGTCTTAGGGTATTTGTGCCCAGCTAGCGATAAGTGCCTTGGCACTGACTGGATATTTGATTGTATGATTGTATCTGCTAAAGTGACTCGGGTGTCATGACTGTGTCCCGAGTGTCAAACAAGGATAATTTTATTTCATCCTAGTTGTTGTTGTTTATAATTGTTCTTAGTTAATTTAATGTTCTCACTTGTAGTTTTATTACATTGCATTCTCGTATAATGGGACCCCTATAACCTACTCCTTAATTTCTTGCGATCTCTACCTACAATTTTCTGTGGGTACCGATACTAAGCCTTCAGTATCGGTACTAACCCTTGACTATCGATATTATCCCCTGGGTATGAGTACTATTTACAGCTTCGATGTTTTGATAATTGATTGAATATTGATACCTCTATGGAGAGTATCGGTACTGGTATCGATACCACCTTAGGTACCGGTACCAAAATTTCATATTGTAACTTGCTAAGTGATCTCTGTATCGATACCACCCCATGGGTATCGATACCGACACTTTAATATTGATACTCTCGGTTATATTTACTCTTTTTTAAGAACAGTATCGGTACTATTCTTTCAGTATCGATACCCTCACTTGAAAATGTCTTGTTTGGGCACGAAAAAGGCAACATCTTCATTCTAAAAAGCCCTACTAAGGTTCCTAATTGTTTTTAAAGTCTTATGTATTATTAAAAGGGTCATAAATGGGCTATAAACATGCTGTAAAGACTGCTTTCTGATTTCTACCATGAAAATGTCACTTAACTCATGCAACCTACTAAGCACATTTACTTGACCTGCATATGGTATAATTGAGTCTAAAGTGAGTTACCTTTGATTCCTAAGCTACTGGAAGTGCTCAAGGTTCAACCCAAGGTAGGTTTATCATTTCCTTTAGCTTGAGAGGTCTCTCCCACTTCTCTCACTAGACAAAAATCAAACACTTGTGTTACTAAACAAACCATTTCTAAGACTTGAAATCCTCTAAAACATACTAATTCCACAAGGTTGCTAAACACCCCATTAAACCCACATTTTGGAAGCCAATGTAGACTAAAGATATTGTGGGCTTAGATTGAAGCTATGAAGGTCGTGATTCTGAAACTTACCTTTAGAAATCTCAACTGAGGTTGCAAGGTCATCAAACTAACATTTTTGTTTAGTTGTAAGAGAATGATATGAGAGCTTGGGAAAAAAAATAAGGTGAGCAATGAAAAAGAGAAGGGACAGCGTGATATCACCATGTAATTAAAGGTTTTCATTTTTTTTAAATAATGATTTATTTACCCTTTTGGTCAACTCTCATAATCCTCCTTTATACCAACTATTGGGCTCAATCCCAAGCCCAACTCCATTCAATTTGGGTCAAGACCTTCCATAGGCTAAGGAATTTATTCAAGGACCAACTCAGGTTAGCCTGGATCTACCAATCCAGGTTTCGAGGTGTTACAGGATTGGATGGCAAGATAAGGGAAAATCATGAAAGTGAATCTTGGAACAGCCACTGTTAATGTTACAACAAGAGAGATAGGATAATGTAGTAATTCGGGGTCATTGCCAGCAATAATGCCAACCACATTTTCATATGTTATGCCACCTCCAATGCTAAGACAAGTGAATCCAAGACCTCCACCATCATTCCTCAAATATTTAAGAAAACTAAAGAGGGCTAGCAATAACGAGTATTTATTGAGGTACTCAAGTAACTAACCATCCACATCACATTGATTGATTCATTGGATTAAAATCTGAACTACATCAAGTTCATGAGAGAAGTACTTTCTAAGAAGAGAATACTTGGTGAATTCGAGACTGTTGCACTAACTGGTGGATGAAGTGCTATGGCCACAAGCCAACTACCACTAAAACTCAAAGATCTAGAGAGTTTCACTATTCCTTGTATTATTGGTGATCAATCTGTAGGTAAGGCACTATGTGATTTAGGTTATAGCATTAACTTAATGTAATTGTCAATTTTTATGCATTTTGGGAGTGGTGAAGCAAGGCCTATTTCGAGTGGACAAGTTCATTTTTCCAACTAATTTTATCATATTGGATTACGACGTTGACAAGGATGTTCTAATTATTCTTAGTCGACCTTTTCTTGCCACCGGTCATGTATTGATTGATGTTGAAAAGGGAGAACTTATTATGTGTTTGAATGATAAATATATTACTTTCAATGTTTTGCACAATGTTTCATATGTTGATCATAATGTTGAATGTTATTCGATTAATGTTTTTGCACATGAGAAATGAGATGAATTCTACAACATGAACAATGCTACAGCATGAACAATGCTACAAGCAATGCTACAACGGATGAGCTAACTAAGGTTGAAGAAGTTGAAGGCAATTATATGCAACTCTTAAATCTCCGATTAAGGAGTCCCTACATTAGATTTCAAGCCTTTCCCCGAGCATTTGAAGTATACGTACCTTGGAGACAATAAAACTTTATTATTGTAGTAGCAAAGCTTGAAGCATCGCAGGAAGACATGTTGATTGCTATTTTGAAGTAACATAATCAAACAATTGCTTGGAGAATTATTGATATAAAAGGCATTAACCCAACATTTTGTTTGCAAAAAATGTTGTTGGAGGATCCCAATAATAGTTCTATCGACCAGTTAAGAAGGTTAAACTGATTATGAAAGAAGTTATTTGAAAAGAGATCGTCAAATGATTGGATACTAGAGTATATACCCCATTTCGAATAGTAATTGGGTGAGCCCCATTCAGTGTGTTCCAAAAAAATATTGTTATTACCGTGGTGCCAAATAAAAAAAATGAGTTAGTGCCAACAAAGACCACTACTGGCTAGAGAATCTTTTATGGATTATAGAAAGCTCAATAAGGCTACAAGGAATGATCATTTTCCATTGTCATTTCTTGATAAAATGTTGGATTGTCTCGTCGGTAAATATTTCTATTGCTTCTTAGATGAGTATAGTGGTTATAAACAGATAGCTATATCCTCTAAAGACCAAGAGAATACCATTTTCACCTACCCATATGGTATATTGGCCTTCCGACTAATATAATTTGGTTTGTTCAATGCTCTAGTAATATTTTAGTGTGCATAAGGCAATATTCTCTTATATGATTAAAGATTATTTGGAGGTATTTATGGATGATTTCTCTATTTTTGGACAATACTTTGATTATTGCCTTACCAATTTAGTAGTTGTATTGAAATGTTGTGAAGAAACCAGCTTGGTATTAAATTAGGAGAAATGTCATTTCATGATGATCGATGGTATAGTACTAGGGCATCGTATTCCTTACCGAGGTATTGAAGTAGACAAAGTTAACATGGAGGTTATTGAGAAGCCACCACCTCCCATTAATGTGAAATCATTGGAAAGTTTCTTAGGACATGTTGGGTTCTATCGATGATCCATCAAGAATTTTTCCCAAATTGCTAGACCATTATGTTCACTACTGGAGTGGAGCAAAATAGAATTTTTTTGATGATGATGAAGTGATACAGTC